GTGACACCATGACACCACCACCACTGTGACACCATGACACCATCACCACTGTGACACCACGACGCCGCCACCACCACTGTGACACCATGACACCATCACCACTGTGACACCACGACACCATCACCACTGTGACACCACCACCACTGTGACACCATCACCACTGTGACACCATGACACCACCACCACTGTGATACCACGACGCCACCACCACTGTGACACCACCACCACTGTGACACCATCACCACTGTGACACCATGACACCACCACCACTGTGATACCACGACGCCACCACCACTGTGACACCACCACCACTGTGACACCATCACCACTGTGACACCACGACGCCACCACCACTGTGACACCACGACACCATCACCACTGACACCGTCACCACTGTGACACCATGACACCATTACCACTGTGACACCATGACACCATCACTACTGTGACACCACGACACCATCACCAATGACACCGTCACCACTGTGACACCACCATCACTGTGACACCATGACACTATCACCATTGTGACACCATGACACCATCACCACTGTGACACCATGACACAAGCATAATGACATTAATACAACAACCAGCCTCACAATACACAACCATACTGACCACAACAATACAACAACAGCCTCACAATACACAACCATACTGACCACAATAATACACAACCATATATATATATATATATATATATATATATATATATATATATATATATATATATATAATATATATATTATATATATATATATATATATAGGTAGTAGGTTGGTAGACAGCAACCACCCAGGGAGGTACTACCGTCCTGCCAAGTGAGTGTAAAACGAAAGCCTGTAATTGTTTTACATGATGGTAGGATTGCTGGTGTCTTTTGTCTGTCTCATAAATATGCAAGATTACAGGTAAGTCTTGCTACTTCTACTTACATTTAGGTCACACTACACATGCATGTACAAGCATATATATACACACCCCTCTGGGTTTTCTTCTATTTTCTTTCTAATTCTTGTTCTTGTTTATTTCCTCTTATCTCCATGGGGAAGTGGAACAGAATTCTTCCTCTGTAAGCCATGCGTGTCGTAAGAGGCGACTAAAATGCCGGGAGCAGGGGGCTGGTGGCCCCTTCTCCTGTATATATTACTAAATGTAAAAGGAGAAACTTTCGTTTTTCCTTTTGGGCCACCCTGCCTTGGTGGGATACGGCCGATGTGTTGAAAGAAAGAAAGAATATATATATATATATATATATATATATATATATATTATATATATATATATATATATATATATATATATATATATATATGTCATTGGCCGGGGGATCGAACCCCTGATATTTTAGCACGCCTCTTGAGAAGCCCCACCAAAACTCGGAGACCCCATTAACCACTGAGCCATCAATGCTACAAACACCGGGTGCCAACTTCACCAAACAAGCAGCTTTCATTTTGATTTGCTACAACTGCAAAAAATCAATCGAAACATAAAAATAATGCATTATATTTATTTTTTTTTATTATCACACTGGCCGATTCCCACCAAGGCAGGGTGGCCCGAAAAAGAAAAACTTTCACCATCATTCACTCCATCACTGTCTTGCCAGAAGGGTGCTTTACACTACAGTTTTTAAACTGCAACATTAACACCCCTCCTTCAGAGTGCAGGCACTGTACTTCCCATCTCCAGGACTCAAGTCCGGCCTGCCGGTTTCCCTGAATCCCTTCATAAATGTTACTTTGCTCACACTCCAACAGCACGTCAAGTATTAAAAACCATTTGTCTCCATTCACTCCTATCAAACACGCTCACGCATGCCTGCTGGAAGTCCAAGCCCCTCGCACACAAAACCTCCTTTACCCCTCCCTCCAACCTTTCCTAGGCCGACCCCTACCCCGCCTTCCTTCCACTACAGACTGATACACTCTTGAAGTCATTCTGTTTCGCTCCATTCTCTCTACATGTCCGAACCACCTCAACAACCCTTCCTCAGCCCTCTGGACAACAGTTTTGGTAATCCCGCACCTCCTCCTAACTTCCAAACTACGAATTCTCTGCATTATATTCACACCACACATTGCCCTCAGACATGACATCTCCACTGCCTCCAGCCTTCTCCTCGCTGCAACATTCATCACCCATGCTTCACACCCATATAAGAGCGTTGGTAAAACTATACACTCATACATTCCCCTCTTTGCCTCCAAGGACAAAGTTCTTTGTCTCCACAGACTCCTAAGTGCACCACTCACTCTTTTTCCCTCATCAATTCTATGATTCACCTCATCTTTCATAGACCCATCCGCTGACACGTCCACTCCCAAATATCTGAATACATTCACCTCCTCCATACTCTCTCCCTCCAATCTGATATTCATCTTTCATCACCTAATCTTTTTGTTATCCTCATAACCTTACTCTTTCCTGTATTCACCTTTAATTTTCTTCTTTTGCACACCCTACCAAATTCATCCACCAATCTCTGCAACTTCTCTTCAGAATCTCCCAAGAGCACAGTGTCATCAGCAAAGAGCAGCTGTGACAACTCCCACTTTGTGTGTGATTCTTTATCTTTTAACTCCACGCCTCTTGCCAAGACCCTCGCATTTACTTCTCTTACAACCCCATCTATAAATATATTAAACAACCACGGTTACATCACACACATCTTTGTCTAAGGCCTACTTTTACTGGAAATAATTTCCCTCTTCCTACATACTCTAACTTGAGCCTCACTATCCTCGTAAAAACTCTTCACTGCTTTCAGTAACCTACCTCCTACACCATACACTTGCAACATCTGCCACATTGCCCCCCTATCCACCGTGTCATACGCCTTTTTCAAATCCATAAATGCCACAAAGACCTCTTTAGCCTTATCTAAATACTGTTCACTTATGTGTTTCACTGTAAACACCTGGTCCACACACCCCCTACCACACACCCCATTATATTTATATTAATTATTATTATTACATTAAAAACTAAATATCCAGTTTCTTATGTCTCAAATTGCGTCACTCGAATATATTTTATGCAAGTTCCAGAAAGACTGTCTCAAGTTGCTTGATGGTGTCGATGCTAAGTTAAAATGACGTGTACCACAATGCTTCTGACGTGTACCACAATGCTTCTGACGTGTACCACAATGCTTCTGACGTGTACCACAATGCTTCTGACGTGTACCACAATGCTTCTGACGTGTACCACAATGCTTCTGACGTGTACCACAATGCTTCTGACGTGTACCACAATGCTTCTGACGTGTACCACAATGCTTCTGGATATATTAATCAATCCACAAGAAACAAATATCGGATCAATTGTTTTTAATACGAGTCAGTTTCTCTGACTGCACAGTACGACGTGAGTTGTGTGGGGTAGATAAGAGTGTTTAAAGTGTTGAATAAATTAAAATACCGTGGCAAGAACAAGTTACTAGTAACCCACAGTGCCCTGGCTACAAGGAGTCACTAGTAACCCACAATACCGTGGCTACAAGGAGTCACTAGTAACCCACAATACCGTGGCTACAAGGAGTCACTAGTAACCCACAATACCGTGGCTACAAGGAGTCACTAGTAACCCACAATACCGTGCTACAAGGAGTCACTAGTAACCCACAATACCGTGGCTACAAGGAGTCACTAGTAACCCACAATACCGTGGCTACAAGGAGTCACTAGTAACCACAATACCGTGGCTACAAGGAGTCACTAGTAACCCACAATACCGTGGCTACAATGAGTCACTAGTAACCCACAATACCGTGGCTACAAGGAGTCACTAGTAACCCACATACCGTGGCTACAAGAGTCACTAGTAACCCACAATACCGGGCTACAAGGAGTCACTAGTAACCCACAATACCGTGGCTACAAGGAGTCACTAGTAACCCACAATACCGTGGCTACAAGGAGTCACTAGTAACCCACAATACCGTGGCTACAAGGAGTCACTAGTAACCCACAATACCGTGGCTACAAGGAGTCACTAGTAACCCACAATACCGTGGCTACAAGGAGTCACTAGTAACCCACAATACCGTGGCTACAAGAAGTCACTAGTAACCCACAATACCGTGCCTACAAGGAGTCACTAGTAACCCACAATACCGTGGCTACAAGGAGTCACTAGTAACCCACAATACCGTGGCTACAAGGAGTCACTGGTAACCCACAATCATTCAACTAGCTTGAACGGTACACTGGTCTGTGAGTTTTAGGGATCATTAACCGACATTTCAGTCAATCCTGCATCATCACATGTCTCAAGTCAATCCTGCATCTTCGACAAAGTCTCAAGTCAATCCTGGATCATCAGACGACGTCTCAAGTCAATCCTGGATCATCAGACGACGTCTCAAGTCAATCCTGGATCATCAGACGACGTCTCAAGTCAATCCTGGATCATCAGACGACGTCTCAAGTCAATCCTGGATCATCAGACGACGTCTCAAGTCAATCTTTGATCATCAGACAACGTCTTAAGTCAATCCTGGATCATCAGACGACGTCTCAAGTCAATCTTTGATCATCAGACAACGTCTTAAGTCAATCCTGGATCATCAGACGACGTCTCAAGTCAATCCTGGATCATCAGACAACGTCTCAAGTCAATCCTGGATCATCAGACGACGTCTCAAGTCAATCCTGGATCATCAGACAACGTCTCAAGTCAATCCTGGATCATCAGACGACGTCTCAAGTCAATCCTGGATCATCAGACAACGTCTCAAGTCAATCCTGGATCATTAGACGACTTTTCAGTCAATTCTGGATCATTTTCAAGTCTCAGTTGATAATTCTCACAAGACGGACCGAAACCTCGACTTCAGTTTCACTCAGAAATGTGTTAAGTTGTGTACTGGTGTTTGAGCTACAACATACAGAAATGTGTTAAGTTGTGTACTGGTGTTTGAGCTACAACATACAAAAATGTGTTAAGTTGTGTACCGGTGTTTGAGCTACAACATACAAAAATGGACTCACCTGCGGCTTTCTTGGCTGCGTAGAGATTAGCTTCTTCCTGGGCCTTTCCTATGTTCTTTTTATACCTAATGCGCTTGTTACCGAACCAGTTGGAGACCTGAGGGATACACGGGTCATCATACGCCATACTGAACGCAGCATCACACACATTATGCCAAAACTTAAGTCTATGTTACAGTCATGCTCTTTCTAAACCATTATACCCGAGTTCTTAACATACATATATAACATATATGTGCATCAGTAAACGTACCTATAGCCAGTATATCCATATATTGTTATATGAAAAGTGTTATTACAGGATTAGTGAACAATATTATAATGAGTGTTAGCATGCAGAGTTTATCACACACATACACACACACACACACACACACACACACACACACACACACACACACACACACACACACACACACACACACACACACACGTGGCTGATAAGGAAGGTGAAGGAGAGAAGATGAAAGGGAGTCATGGCAGGGCAGGAAGAGGTGTAGGGAGGAATAACAGCAGCGCAACACAAAAATATACGAGGAACTACAAAGCAGACAACATAAGAAGGAAGGTTAGAAGCATCTAGTAAGCGTGCATATACCAGGCCTAGTAAACTACACGTGACAACACAAGCCTACACATTATCACTTGAGGCACATACAAGCTTGGGAGTTTGGCTGGTATTCCCAACCTACAGAGATTTTTACAGCATATTTCTTGTAGTATTTTTTTTGGTTGAGGCGAGTGTGTTGGAGGGCCATGAGTGATGACCTCCACACCCATCACTGCTGTCTGAGGGACAGGTAAGGAGCGAGCATCTCGCGCGAATTTACAGGAGGGCTGAGAAAGTTGGCTCAGCAGCAGCTATAAAAGCAATCTCAGCTGCTATTAGGAGAACGAAGTGGCAGAAGCGTATACAGATTGACACTGTAGTGGTGGTAGAGAAGAAGCTGTGATGTGGGGCATCAAGCAGGTGGCACCACAGTGTGCCGGCCCCGACACCACATGCATAGCGCAGGGCCAGCCACACCCAGGAGGCAGCCCACGAGATGCAACACAGCACAGGAGATGTGCCACTGCCAGCACAGCAAGACACTGACAGCACACTACGGTTGGACGCACAGGAGGCCACATGAGCAGCCAGCAGACGGAGCACTGCGCCCCTCACAATGATCTGCCCACATCCCGCGCCCACACTATGAAACACTTTAAAGAGCTAGAAAACAATTAACATATTTAGCACTGTTTGTTTACACACGCACTTGGGACGTGTGTAGATAAAACAGCAAGAGACTAACACGTACATTGCGTGAGCGTCTACGGGTGTGTGGATGCTTCTGGGAAGCGCAGTCTCCGGGAGCAGGCACAGGGAAGGCGAGCCATAGGTTAGTATATTAGTGAGAGATGGATAGGGCACGCCTTCGCCCGGGACGTGGCATCACGACGCAGCAGGGTATGAATTGAATGTCAAATAGGCTGGGAGTGGCAGACGGTAGCCGTAAGCCAGAACCTCCTCTTTGGGACCTCTCTCTTGTTTAGAAGCTGCTAGGAGGAGAGTGGCGCCTGAACAGCACCTAACACGAGGAAGAACAAGCACTCAGGTCACAAGTAGTTCCACATGGCGTGTATCAGGTAGGCAAACATTGACTTGAAGCTATATAATTCAAACTTGTGTAGCTGGGTATAGGCTGACAAGAGAGGATGGTCCGAGCATGACTGTGCCTAAGTGACAGTGATGGAGGGTACTATTTTCATGGCCTGTTGGCCAGCCGCTTGGCTGGGAAGGTGTGCCTCCAACACCCGTGGGTGGCCTCGTCTTACAAAGTGAAGGTAGAGGTAGTGGAGCACTGGGAGTGGATGTACTGCTGCTGCCCACGGGTGTCGGAGGCTCTACCTGCTGCATACCTGCTGGACCGTGATGTCGCACGCTCTCGCCAGTTCCTCCTTGGCTTCCTCACTCGGATAGGGATTGGACAAGTGGGAATAGAAGTAATCATTCAGGAGCTCAGTGGCTTGTTTACTAAAGTTTCGTCTTCGTTTCCTGCAAGAAAGTGAACGAGACCGTTACGTTCTTTACCTGAGCCACTGTTATATTGGACTTGCGGGCCAACTCCTCCTTGGCCTCTTCACTCGGGTACGGGTTACTTAGGTGCGAGTAAAAGTACTCGTTCAAAATCTCTGTAGCTTGTTTGGAAAAGTTACGTCTTTTGCGCCTGAAAGAGAACAGCCATAAAAAACACCTTTACCAAATAAAAAGCTAAGGGAAGGGTGACAACGAACTACCAAAGCGCCACAACACCATCCACCAAGCGTTACTCCGTGGCCGTCACTACCGCCGCCTCACCAACGAGTACTGGTGCCTCACACTGCCCAAGAGTGAAGCAGTCAACACTAGTGCTCTAGCTCTGGGGCCTCACATTTTAAACAACAGGTGGAGCATACGAGAAGCGACGGCAGCAGACGGCAGCGGAGTTGCCGAAGCACTACACCCAGCATTGTCACTAGTGCATCAAGTCATGATGTCTCCGTTGTGTCTCCGTCACGCCGGCCAGCGGCAGGTGGAGTTGTCAAGCATGCCGGAGACCGTCACCAACACCCACTCCACCACATCCGATACCAGACACGCAAGATCAGCGTCCACACCAGGGCAGGTATTGTGGAGAGAGGCTCCAGTGTGGGTGTTGGGTGCTGTGGGTGTGATATAGGTGACGAGCATACTATGCAGGGGTAAGACTAAAGTTGCAGTAACAACCAGTCACCTAGTTGCAACAACCAGTCACCCAGCTGCAACAATCAGTCTCCTAGCTGCAGCAACCAGTCACCCAGCTGCAACAACCAGTCACCCAGCTGCAGCAACCAGTCACCCAGCTGCAGCAACCAGTCACCCCTCCTTGCAGGGTGCTCAGGCATCTCCCCACCATACGAAGTCATTAAAGTCACAATAAGAGGAATACAGTAAATGCATTTAGCACAAGTCGAGTAGCAGGAGCACTAAAAAATGTTTGGTAGTTCGTTGTCTGTGGTAGTCGCTGACTGCTATGGTGATAGGGAAGGTGGTGGTGGTGGTGGTGGTAGTGGTGGTGATGGTGGTGGTGGTAATGAGGGAGACTATTATACCTGATTAATGGTAATGCCACAGCGACGCGCCAAAGCCTCTTTCTCCTCCTCAGAGGGGTACGGGTTTGACAGATTGGAGTAGAAATACTCATTGAGAATCTCAGAGGCCTGCTTGCTGAAATTCCGTCGACGTCTCCTGTAAATAACAGCGAGATGAGATAGATGTCTTGGTGAGGTGTACCTCGGATAATGTTGATTCCCAGTCCACCAGGCAGACTCCACTACCTCACCTGTTGTATCAGCCTCACCTGCTGTATGACCTCACCTGCTGTATGAACCTCACCTGCTGTATGAACCTCACCTGCCATATAAACCTCACCTACCTGCTGTTCAAACCTCACCTGCTGCACAATCCTTACCCTTTTGTAAAAACCTCACCTGCTGTACAAACCTCACCTGCTGTAAAAACCTCACCTGCTGTACAAATCTGACCTTGAGTATAAACCTGTGTACAAACCTGACCTTATGTACAAATCACACCTTATATACAAACTTGACTATGTGTAGGAGTCTCACCATATGTACAAAACCTAACTTCGTGTATACGCCCGATTTTGTGTACATATTTGACCTTTAGGATAAAATATCCTCTCCGCCTGACCTTGTCTACAAACCACACTTCTTTCCACCTGACCTTGTCTACAAACCACACTTCTTTCCACCTGACCTTGTCTACAAACCACACTTCTTTCCACCTGACCTTGTCTACAAACCACACTTCTTTCCACCTGACCTTGTCTACAAACCACACTTCTTTCCACCTGACCTTGTCTACAAACCACACTTCTTTCCACCTGACCTTGTCTACAAACCACACTTCTTTCCACCTGACCTTGTCTACAAACCACACTTCTTTCCACCTGACCTTGTCTACAAACCACACTTCTTTCCACCTGACCTTGTCTACAAACCACACTTCTTTCCACCTGACCTTGTCTACAAACCTGACCTTACCTTATGTACAAACCTTACTTATAACCTCCGACCTTGTGTACAAGCCCACCTTTGTGAACAAAATTACCCCTTCCTCCTGACCTTATTTACAAACCTGACCTTCGTCACAAACCTGACCCCTGGCACTTACAGTCCTCACACTGTCAGTCCTGGTGGACCGGGCACCCAACAGCCTGTATAGGGAGGAAAAAACAGCATCCTACATACACACAGTGGTTAACAGATGCTGGTCAACAAGTTGTAGGTTGGGATGAGCTAGTGATGCGGCCTCACTCAAGGTGGTTGAAACTTAATCACTGTCAATATAAACTGATGACCACCATGCACCACAACCTGCAACCTGGCTAATTATATCCTTAAACAGGTATACACAATGCATATGTACAAATAAATAAAAAATATATAAATAATATATATATATATAATATATATATATATATATATATATATATATATATATATATATATATATATATATATATATATATATATATATATATAATATGCAATAAGATCACAGTAAACAGGTGATTTCAAAATATGCAAAACAACCACTCTGAAAGAATAGAGAAATTCCAAGCGCTTTCGTGACTACTCACATTATCAAGGAACTATGAAAGTGAAGCATCCAAGGAAGCTATATAAGGGGTCGGCCAGCACCTCACTATCAGATCCCACAACGGTTAAACACGTGACGCGTTGGGTCGCCGCGCGTCAGGTGTTTAACCGTTGTGAGATCTGATAGTGAGGTGCTGGCCGACCCCTTATATAGCTTCTTTGGATGCTTCACTTTCATAGTTCCTTGATAATGTGAGTAGTCACGAAAGCGCTTGGAATTTCTCTATTCTTTCAGAGTGGTTGTTTTGCATATATATATATAATATTTATATTAAATATATAATTATATAATATAAAATTATATTAATATAATAATATATATATATATATATATATATATGAGCTTTTCTCTGACCTCTACAACACTATTGTCATCAAAGATTTGTTAGGTTATACCATGAATTAAGGAAGGATCCTGGACTTCACCTTAGGAATCAGACAGAACAAATGGGATAGTAATTATATACAAGGTAGTGGAAAGTGACCATGTTATTAGAAAACGGAGGAACTTACGTGCCTCGTAAGTGACAGGACGGTAGTACCTGATTGAGTGGTTATCTACCAAGTAAGCGTGTAACGTAAACAACCAACACACACACACACACACACACTGTACACTGTGTATGTTAGGCCCATACTGGAGTATGCAGCACCAGTCTGGAACCCACACCTGGTCAAGCACGTCAAGAAGTTAGAGAAAGTACAAAGGTTTGCAACAAGGCTAGTCCCAGAGCTCAAGGGAATGTCGTACGAGGAAAGGTTAAGGGAAATCGGACTGACGACACTGGAGGACAGAAGGGTCAGGGGAGACATGATAACGACATATAAGATACTGCGGGGAATAGACAAGGTGGACAGAGATAGGATGTTCCAGAGAGGGGACACAGCGACAAGGGGTCACAACTGGAAGCTGAAGACTCAGACGAGTCACAGGGACGTTAGGAAGTATTTCTTCAGTCATAGAGTTGTCAGCAAGTGGAATAGCCTAGCAAGTGAAGTAGTGGAGGCAGGAACCATACATAGTTTTAAGAAGAGGTATGACAAAGCTCAGGAAGCAGAGAGAGAGAGGATCCAGTAGCGATCAGTGAAGAGGCGGGGCCAGGAGCTGAGTCTCGACCCCTGCAACCACAATTAGGTGAGTACAATTAGGTGAGTACACTAGTAAGTGTAAGAGGACCTAGACATTTAAATACGCTCCCTTCATACATAAGGGGAATTACCAACACACTTCTGGTTGCCTTCAAGAGGAAGTTGATAAAGTTCCTCATGTCAGTTCCTGATCAACCTGGTTGTGGAGCATGCGATGAGTTACGTATGGCCAGCACAGTCTGTCAATCAGGCCAGCAACTGGGACGTTTGGTCTGGGACCTAAACACTGTATTATTAACATGAATAAAAGGAACCAATTCAACATGTGTCGAAATATCTAAATCGCAAAATTCCAGAGGAACGACTAACTCCACCAGAAGACTAGCTAGTATGACTAGACCAGGCACCAGGTAATTGACTTGACTTCAACAAGTGTCAGGTGTGTGAATGTGTGGCATTCTGCTGTTACCTGTCAACTGCTCGTCCACTGCCCATCCTCTTAGTGGGGGAGGGGGGAAGGAGGTGGTCATGAATCAGGAGGTGATCACCACAATGACACTCGCGGTGAGATAAAACACATGATGGCAGTATTGGCTTCCGCCAATCACTCGTCTTGCACAGCTGACGGCCTCAATGAGCCAGCATCTCACCTCTGTATCGTTCACCATCCCTAGTGTCAGTCACCACCTTGCTGCCTACCATGCCACCACCACAGCCCACATTGTGGCCTGCCCCTATTACATAGTTTTCCCCTTGTTGGATGACCCTGGGGAGCGCATGGTGACTGTGATGAGTGAAGGACAGAACTCATCTAAGTGAGACGAACTGTCTCATGAAGAGCGAAGCACCAACGATAGAGTGAGAATGAGAAAGAGAGAGAGAGACAAGAGTGGAGGGAGCATTTGTGATAAGACTAGGTCTTTTGTAAGATGTTGAAGGAGGCTGTTAACTATGTTATAGGCCGCTACTCTCTCATAAACCACCTCACAATACTGTCTCGCTCTCCCTCAGCCCCCGGGTGTCTCACCCTTTCCCTCCTCAAATCCCCAAGTCTGTCTCATTGTCGCCATGTTCCCAGGTCTGTCTCACTCTCCAACTCCTATGGCGAATGCGGGGTAGGTATAATGTTTGTCAGGAAACAGGACAAGTGTTTCCTGACGGGGGTCTTAGTCATATAATGACCTGCAGCTGGAGCTTCTGGTCATCTGACTGAGGCCTTCCGCTGGCTTACCCCTCCACTCCTTTAAAAATCATGGTTATAATTATAACCACTAGGAGTAATGCGTGGGATGGTAGGGGAGTGAGGAGGGGGGTGAAGAGAGGAAAGGGAGAGTGTAAGTGGGGTAGATTCACAATAAATTACCTTAGCTTTTGCTTCTTAATATTGTTACCTTCAACAAATCCTAAACTCATCAGTGACCTCCACCCCTTTACC